TTCTGTGAGGATATGTGCATTCCTACCAGGACTCATTTAACTTACAACAACAACAAACTGAGGTTCACTGCAAAACTCAGACAGCTCCGTCAGGCCAAAGAGGATGCCTACAGGAGTGAGGACAGAGTCTTCAATAAACAGACCAAAAACACACTGACAAAGGAGATCAGCGTGGCTAAGAGGAACTACTCTGAAAATCTGAGAAAACAATTTTCTGCCAATGACCCTGCTTCAGTGTGGAAAGGACTGAAAGACATTACAAATTGCAAGACTCCATCCCCCCGCACTGAAGAGAATCAACAACTGGCTGACGATTTGAATGAGTTTTGAATGAATGAAAAACCTTGACTCACACCCCACACCTATTCTGACCCTATTAACACCTCCAGCAACCCTCCTCTCCCCCCTCCTGCACTTCAGATCAGTGAAGATGATGTGTGTCAGGTCTTCAGGAAACAGAAGAGAAGGAAAGCACCAGGCCCAGATGGTGTTACACCAGCCTGTCTGAAAACCTGCGCTGATCAGCTGGCCTCCATCTTCACACTGATCTTCAACAGATTCCCTCAGGAAATGCATCTCATGCGTGTAATACACAGCATTATTCAGACATTTATTTATTTAGCACACATACCTCTTTTTACATTTCCTTGCATTTGTACATAATACACCTGTACACACAAATACCAAATATTGTCTACTTTGAATATTGAGTATTTCATTTTTTGTATATTTTCTTTCTTATTTACTTATTCTATTTTTATTCTTTTTATTATCTGTGTCTTGTCTTGTCACTGTCATTCTGTTTGTGCTGTAGAAGCTTCTGTCACCAAAACAAATTCCTCGTATATATGTAAGCACACCTGTCAATAAAGCTCTCTCTGATTCTGATTCAATTTGGCTAGTTTTGTTTCGCAGACCTGGCAACCCTGCCTGTCAAATAAACTCCTGCCATGCGGGAGAAACGTTGATTTGCGTGAATGTGTTGAAGCCCACAGTTTCCGAAGTGCAGATGGAATGTTGTTTAAAAGTTTTCTGTTTCAGGTACAGAACTGTATGTTCAAAAAAACACGCTTCTTAAAGGCAAACTCGCGCTATGCCCGTGAACCAGTATGGTTTAAACTATAAGAGAGATCTGAGAGATGAGCATATGCATGTACGCGAGGAAATATTATATACTGTGTTATAAAATTAATAACAGGGCACATGAGATCAGTTCCAGTATCTGTTTTTGTTTGAGTTTCATCAGATGAGGCATGTTACCACTGATCTATTCTAAATAAAGTTACAGAAACTTTCTATACTGTCACTCTTGGACTATTTTTCTAGCGGAAGCAGACGTTTAATGATTTTTAAAAAGTTACATATTAATACACCTTTTCCCTTTAATATATGTATTGTGTGGAAACCATTTTATACAAGCAATAAGCCAAGTGAAGATATGGTTTACAGTGAATTTAGAACAGCTAAGAGGGTTTTAGGCCTTCTGCTTCGTGTCGTGCATAACAACGCCCCTTAGCTGTTCTAAATTCACTGCAACCCATGGCTTCTTGGGTCTTATTGCTTTAATGAATGAAGTAAGAAGAATATAATTTTGCTAACTTTTCCTGTTCTTTCTCGTCCTAGTCCCAGTTCCAGAACCAGACGCTCAGCGAGGCATGTTACAGATGAGGCATGTTACCACTGATCTATTCTAAATAAAGTTACAGATACTTTCTATACTGTCACTCTTGGACTATTTTTCTAGCGGAAGGAGACGTTTAATGATTTTTAAAAAGTTACATATTAATACACCTTTTCCCTTTAATATATGTATTGTGTGGAAACCATTTTATACAAGCAATAAGCCAAGTGAAGATATGGTTTACAGTGAATTTAGAACAGCTAAGAGGATTTTAGGCCTTCTGCTTCGTGTCGTGCATAACAACGCCCCTTAGCTGTTCTAAATTCACTGCAACCCATGGCTTCTTGGGTCTTATTGCTTTAATGAATGAAGTAAGAAGAATATAATTTTGCTAACTTTTCCTGTTCTTTCTCGTCCTAGTCCCAGTTCCAGAACCGGACGCTCAGCTGGCCTCCACCTTTCCTCCAACATTTGTGAAAGAAGGTGACAACTTGGTTCTGCAGTGCAGTTTCACCACAGCTTTACTGCCGTTCCAACAGGATGTGACCTGGTACAGAGACGGTGAGACGCTCGACGTGGAATTTTATATATGTTCTAAATTCACTGCAACCCATGGCTTCTTGGGTCTTATTGCTTTAATGAATGAAGTAAGAAGAATATAATTTTGCTAACTTTTCCTGTTCTTTCTCGTCCTAGTCCCAGTTCCAGAACCAGACGCTCAGCTGGCCTCCACCTTTCCTCCAACATTTGTGAAAGAAGGTGCGTGTAATACACAGCATTATTCAGACATTTATTTATTTAGCACACATACCTCTTTTTACATTTCCTTGCATTTGTACATAATACACCTGTACACACAAATACCAAATATTGTCTACTTTGAATATTGAGTATTTCATTTTTTGTATATTTTCTTTCTTATTTACTTATTCTATTTTTATTCTTTTTATTATCTGTGTCTTGTCTTGTCACTGTCATTCTGTTTGTGCTGTAGAAGCTTCTGTCACCAAAACAAATTCCTCGTATATATGTAAGCACACCTGTCAATAAAGCTCTCTCTGATTCTGATTCAATTTGGCTAGTTTTGTTTCGCAGACCTGGCAACCCTGCCTGTCAAATAAACTCCTGCCATGCGGGAGAAACGTTGATTTGCGTGAATGTGTTGAAGCCCACAGTTTCCGAAGTGCAGATGGAATGTTGTTTAAAAGTTTTCTGTTTCAGGTACAGAACTGTATGTTCAAAAAAACACGCTTCTTAAAGGCAAACTCGCGCTATGCCCGTGAACCAGTATGGTTTAAACTATAAGAGAGATCTGAGAGATGAGCATATGCATGTACGCGAGGAAATATTATATACTGTGTTATAAAATTAATAACAGGGCACATGAGATCAGTTCCAGTATCTGTTTTTGTTTGAGTTTGAGGCATGTTACAGATGAGGCATGTTACCACTGATCTATTCTAAATAAAGTTACAGAAACTTTCTATACTGTCACTCTTGGACTATTTTTCTAGCGGAAGGAGACGTTTAATGATTTTTAAAAAGTTACATATTAATACACCTTTTCCCTTTAATATATGTATTGTGTGGAAACCATTTTATACAAGCAATAAGCCAAGTGAAGATATGGTTTACAGTGAATTTAGAACAGCTAAGAGGATTTTAGGCCTTCTGCTTCGTGTCGTGCATAACAACGCCCCTTAGCTGTTCTAAATTCACTGCAACCCATGGCTTCTTGGGTCTTATTGCTTTAATGAATGAAGTAAGAAGAATATAATTTTGCTAACTTTTCCTGTTCTTTCTCGTCCTAGTCCCAGTTCCAGAACCAGACGCTCAGCTGGCCTCCACCTTTCCTCCAACATTTGTGAAAGAAGGTGACAACTTGGTTCTGCAATGCAGTTTCACCACAGCTTTACTGCCGTTCCAACAGGATGTGACCTGGTACAGAGACGGTGAGACGCTCGACGTGGAATTTTATATAAATAACAATAAAATTGTACGTTTACACTAGTAGATGCTTTTATCCAAAGTAACATCACAAGAATTTTATCTTGCAAGACTCACAGTGCAACAATGTCAAGTTTACCACAGAGCCACAACCTGGCAACCCCCCAGAACACTCTAGCAACAGCATAGCAACCAGGCGGAACATGCGTGTAACATAAAACCTGTCTGCTCAGGGCTGGTGTTGCATCAGTGCAGTCGTGTGGAGCTACAGACGGGTCTGCGATCCGTCAATCTCACCCTGAAGCGAGTGCACAAGGAACATGAAGGCCTGTACAGCGTCCGTCTCCGCACCTGGGACGGGACCGTCGAGCACAGCGCCTACGTCTATGTCAAAGGTCAGATCCTCAGATACTCTTAGTATTTTAAATATTAAAATAAGCTTAAATATTAATAAGAATTTGTCATAGAAATTCATAACTAGAGATAAAATTATGGAAGTCGTTTTCCCCACTGAAAAAAAATAAAATAAAAAAAAGTAATTGCGACTTTTCTCTCACAATTCTGACTTTTTTTTTCTCGCAATTATGATTTTTTTTTTTTTTTATTGCAAGTTTATACTTTGCGATTCTGAATTTATTTTTGCAATTCTGACTTTTTCTCACAATTGCTAGTTTATGTCTTGCGATTCTGACTTTTACCTCCTAATTATGCCTTTTTCTCACAATTGCGAGTTTATATTTCGCAATTCTGACTTTTTTCTCGCAGATGCAAGTTTGTCTCAAAATTCTGACTTATTTTTTTCAGAATTGTCAGATTTAAACTCCCATTTGCTTGTTATAAAGTCTGAATTGTGAGATGTAAACTTGCGATTGAGAGAAAAAAATCTGAATTGTGGGAAAAAGTCAACTTAAACTGACTTTAGACTTTATAACACACAATTGCGATTTTAAATCTCACGATTCTGATTTTAAAACTCGCAAATGTGAGAAAACAGTCAGAACTGGGAGATAAAAAGTCTCAATTACCTTTTTTGTTTTTTTATTCAGTGGTGGAAATGGGCTTCCATATAAAATAGATGAGTTTAGATTGAAAGGCTTCAGAAAATTACTGGACATCTAGAGAGAGAAAAAACGGCCCCACTTTATATTAAGTGGCATTAACTCCTATGTACTTACATCAAAAATTAAGTACAATGTACATATTGTGTTCATATTGTATTGCAAAAAATTTTTGCAATTGAGGTGGGATACGGGTAAGGTTAGGGACAGGTTTGGTGGTATGGGTAGGGGTAAGGGATGGGTCAACTGTGTAATTATAAATGTAATTACAGAAATTAATTACAGATGTAATTACATGCAGGTATTTTAAAAATATAAGTACAATGTAAAAACATGTATGTACACAATAAGTGCATTGTACCAATTTATTAATTAAAATTTAAGTACATAGTTGTTAAGGCCACTTAATATAAAGTGGGTCCAGAAAAACATTTTACATCGCAAAATCAGGTTTTTTGCTCTCAGGCAGAGCGAGAAAGAGCTGAACTGATCGTTTGTTGGGTGTCATCACTCCAGATTATTGGCGATTGAAGAAGTTTAGTGTGTTACAATTGCCGTCTGTCTCTCCTAATTAAGAAATGTAAAACTTGAACTCCTCAGAGACATAATTCTCATGAATCTGTGATGTTCTTTCCAGAGCAGAGTTCCCATGTCAGCGTAAATCCTTAAAAGCAAGACGAGGACGGGAATTGAATTTCCTGTCTCATTAAAGGAAGCGGGCCGCTCTGTAAGCCTGCAGTGTAGTAATTAGAAAGTGAGCTTCACTCTGCTGCGCGTGACGTCCTCGCTTAATCTCAGAGGAAAAATTAGCATTACAAATCTGCCAGGTAACAGGAAGGAGCCGGAGGTTGCTCTTATGAGTCTGTTTCATCCTTGTTGGTGGCGATTAAACAAATAAGAGCTTGAGAAGCCCTGCAGCTGTCCTCTTTTAAGAAACATACTGAAGTAAGCTTAACTGTGCTGCGGAGGGAAATTTCATTTTTCAGTGGCTGCTCAGTAACAGGTCAGGGAAACCTAATGGGCTTCCCAGTAATTTATATTTTATAAAATAGACATAAATGGTAAAATCGTAAAAGTAAAAAAATAGACATGAACGATTATTGTTTACTAAAAGTAAAACTTTTGGTATTCAGATAAAGCTGAACTAAAATAAAATGTAAAAATTACATAAACACTTGAAATTTAAAAACAAAAAGTTATTTCAGTTATTTCTTTATTATTATTAAGAAATAAAAATAGACATGAATGACCGTTTTGCTATTGTTAACAAACTAAAACTATTATGAATCATTTTCATTAATGAAATAAATCTGAAATTAAAAATATAAATAATAAATTAAATTCAATAAAAAAAATCTTAAATTAAAATAAACGGCGCTCTCATTAATTAATTTATTAATTAATTAATTTATTTATTAGAAATAAAAATAGACATGAATGAAAGTTTTGTTATTGTTAACTAAAACTAAAACTATTAAAATCATTTTGGTACTGGAATAAATCTGAAATAAAATAACAAAACACCTGAAGTTAGATGAAACACCTGAAATTAAGTTCCCAGTTATTTTTTATTATTAATAAATAAAAATAGACAGTAATGACAGTTTTGCTGTTGTTATTTAAAGCTAAAACTATCACAAAGATTTTTCAGTAAGTTAAATAAAGCTTAAATAAAATATAAATATTAGATAAAAAATGTAAACTAAAAAAATTCAAAGAAAACTAAATTAAACTAACTAAAATAAAATAAGCCTAAAACTGCAATAAAAATAAATTAAAGCTGAATGGAAATATTTTTTAAAAACCTAATAAAAATTACAAAAGCATACAACAAAAATCTCAAATTAAAATGAAAACTAACTAAATAAAAAATCTAAGCTAATTTAAAATGACTAAATACTAAAATGTAATAATAATAATTTATGTATAATACTAAAATGACACCGATGAATGAGAATATTGCTGAGATTCATAGGACTAAAATAAACGTGGATGGCAGCTCAGATCATTTGATCTTGTAAGAGTTTGATGTGTTCATACTGAAATCTTATTCTTTTTATCTTCTCAAATCTGAGCACTATTTGAGACATTGTTGAGATCTCTTCTGAACAACAGAGGAGATGCATTTGAGATTACAAGGGCCTTTTTTTCAGGAAAACATCTGAAAAATTCAAGCTCAGTGCCATATGTCGGTTTGTTTCCTCTCTCTCTCTCTCTGTCTGTGTGTAGATGGACCTGCGGTTGTGGTCGGCGCTCCAGGTTCTCCTCTACAGGTGAAGTGTTCTGATGTGAACCGGGATTACGTGTTCCTCTCGTGGATTCCTCCCAGCGCAGACGGAGCTGCTGCTGTGCAGGGTTACTTCATAGAGAGGTGAAGCATGAGCCACGATGTCCTTCTGACGGCCGCTCTCATGAGCTCTCATCTTAAGAGAGATCCGAGCAGCTTCAAGCTGTTTCTAGGGATAAAACTTGAAATGAAAGACATCATGGTGAGAGAGTACGAGCGGCTAACCTTCCTGTTTCCTAGCAACATGCTGCTTCACTCTACAATGTGCTGCCAGTTTTTGTCTTGTTGGCTTGTGTTTAGTTTTTGAAGATAATTGTATCTTATTATGTATACTTGTGGAGTCCAAAAGTCTGAGACCACCACTGAAAATTCTTCTGTTTTGCCTTTTTTTTATACAATTATTTTTCCATTATGAAACTAAATTATAAGCATAATAGTTTGAATGAAAAGTTGACTGAATTTCTAAATATCCAAACATTTGGTTTGTCCTTTTTGTACTTTAATGACAGAGTTTTAGAATCAGAATGACATTTATTGCCATTTATTGTTCTGTCAGACAAAATAATAGCTAAGACAGATAATAAAAATGAAGATACACAAATTAAAAGTATATTATATAAAAATACACAAAAGACAAAATAGACAATATTTGTCAAACTTTATATAGACAAACTTTGGTGTTCTAAATTATTGCTAGGGTGTTGCTTGGGGCTAGATTTAATGCATTGCTGTACTATTTCTTGAGTGTTCAGAATGGTTGCTAGGGCATTGCTAGGGGTTGCAATGTTCTGAGAGGTCTTTAATGCATTGCTATGCTGTTGCTAATGTCTTTTGAGTGGTTGCCAGGGCGTTTCTAGGGGGTGAAAAGTTTTGAGTGGATTTAAATGCATTGCTATGCTGTTGCTAAGGTGTACTGAGTGGTTGCTAGGACATTGCTAAGGGTTGCAAAGTTCTGAGGGGTCTTTAATGCATCGCTATGCTGTTGCTAGGGTGTCCTGAGTAGTTGCTAGGGGTTGCAGAGTTCTGTGTGTTTTTTAACGCATTGCTATGCTGTGGCCGGTGTGTTGCTATGGGGTTGCTCATAAGTTCAGAGTAGTTTTTAATGCATTGTTATGCTGTTGTTTGAGTGTTCTGAGTGGTTGCTAGGGCATTGCTAAGGGTTGCAAAGTTCTGAGAGGTCTTTGATGCACCGCTATTGCTAGGGTGTCCTGAGTAGTTGCTAGGGGTTGCAGAGTTCTGTGTGTTTTTTAACGCATTGCTATGCTGTGGCCGGTGTGTTGCTATGGGGTTGCTCATAAGTTCAGAGTAGCTTTTAATGCATTGTTATGCTGTTGTTTGAGTGTTCTGAGTGGTTGCTAGGGCATTGCTAAGGGTTGCAAAGTTCTGAGAGGTCTTTGATGCACCGCTATTGCTAGGGTGTCCTGAGTAGTTGCTAGGGGTTGCAGAGTTCTGAGTGTTTTTTAATGCATTGCTATGTTGTGGCTGGTGTGTTGCTAGGGTGTTGCTACGGGGTTGCTCATAAGTTCAGAGTAGCTTTTAATGCATTGTTATGCTGTTGTTTGAGTGTTTTGAGTGGTTGCTAGGGCGTTGCTCAAATATTCAAAGCAGTTTTTCATGCATTTTTATGATGTTGCTTGATTCTTCTGAGTGGTTGCTAGAGTGTTGCTAAGGGTGCACAGTTGTTCAGAGTAGTTTTTAATGCATTGTTATGC